TCGCCGCTGCCCGCCGACAGCGAGCGCGCGCCCAGGCGCGGGGCCGACACCAGGATGCCGCAGCTGGGCAGCACGTAGTCCCCGGGGTCGCCCGCCGGGGGCTCCTCGTCCGAGCGGGAGGCGCTCAGGAAGTCGTCCGAATGGAACGAGTCGTTATCCGATATTTCCGTGTCGGATTCGGGATGGACTTGAGCGTCTACCGCCGGGTTCTCCAGAGTTTCCAGGCTGCTGTCCGATTTCCAAAGGTTCACTTTCAAATTGGGCTTTAAAAAATTGACTTTCATTTCAGGTTTGGTAAAGCTGCCCAGCTTGCGGAGGTTGCTCATGTTTACATTGGACTTGGTTTGTTTAACTTTCTGGTTGAGAGATGAAAACTTGCTCAGCAAGTAGTTCTTGCCTTGGGCCAGGGACCCTCTGTTCTGGGACCGAATGCCAATGATGTCTTCGTGGGCTTTACTGCTCTTCCTGGAGGAAAAAAAAAGAAAATTGCCAATGTACAATTAGCAAAGCAGTTTCTTTTATAAAACAACAAGTATTCACCATCTTCTGTTTGGGGTTTTCTTGGACCGGTCCAGTTTCCAAAGAAAACAGATTAATAAATTCAGACAGGACAAATTAGATTTGATAGACTGATCACAAATCATTTCATTTGCAGTATGACTTGCATTTCATAGTGAATCCATGTTGTTTATATGGAAGCACAATGTACAAAGGTGGCCTGAGCCCAAGTGCATGGAAATCAGTGTAAAATACTATTTTTTCTTACACTCTCAGGTCAACTTCTGCAGACTGTGGTTATCAAAAGCAGAGCTAAAGCAAACCCATCCCTAGCACAACGGCCAGGAAGCAGAACAGTTTCTCATGCATCACTGTGGGTGAAGTGGCAGGAGAGGAGAAGTGGGGCACGGAAGAGCCGCATCATTTCAGCACTCACCTCTCCAGCTTCTTCTCAATAATGGGCACGTCTAATCCCGTCGCTTGCTTCGTGATCCGCAGCATCTCTGCAATGCACTGAAGAGTGTCTGAAATCCAATTAGCAGCCCGTCAGACCCTTAAAAACCCTAAAATCCTACATTTTGAAATCTAAAATTAGACAAATCTGTCACTTAATGAATATTAATTTTATTTTCCTCTAATTGTTGAGCCCCAGAATTTGCAATTCAAATTTAAAAGCTTACAAAATAAGCTTATGGAAAGAATAGATTCTTCTTTAGCACTGAAGCTGAATGTAAGTGAATTCCCTCCCCAAGAGATGTATTCTGGAAGTGACAGAAGGAACAAAATCTGAACTATATTTATTCTAATCCTTGTTGACAAAACCCAGTGTTCCAGGTAAGCGGTTTCTCTCCTATTAGTATTTTCTTAATTTAGCTGAGCGAGAAGCAAGACATTTCTAGATATTGATTTCATTAACTAGAGCCATTTCCAGCAACCTAGGAACTTCAGTCTTTTTTTATCAAGTTTGGAAGCAAAAAGACAACACTTCAATATCCAATTCTTCTCAACATATTGCTTTAAAATTATATCCAAATTTTATGTTTCTTTATATTAAAACAGTAGCTCAGTGCTCACACAGGAAGCCACATTCTGGTATTTATCTTTTCCCAACAGAGAAGCGGGTTGTATTAGAAGGTACTGGGTTGTATTAGAAGGAGAACTGGGTTTACATAAAGGTAAAAGTATACAGAAAAATCTTTCAGCTATATGAAACTTTCACATATGAAGCAAACCTTTTCCATCTTCTTCAGGGCTGCGTACCACAGCTCGAAGCGTGTGAAAATACCCACTCGTTTCTTTGTATTTGTAATGCAGCCTCATGCAAGAGAACTTGGGTTTGCCAAAGAGAGTAGGCTCAGGTCCTGAAAAATAAGCCAACGAGTTGGAAATGACTTCTTCAGCAAGACGTTTGGTCCAGATGTTTCTATAACTCACAATATTAATCTCCAATAAAGTGGCAAGACAGACCTTTCCCCCGAACTCTTAGAAACTGCACATCCATAATGAACTGGGGGAAGGAGGGCGGCAGAATTCCCTCCCCAGTGAAAAAGCCTCTGCTTCAGCAACAGAAACACAGGTACCACAGCAGCCTCAGCTGTACGTGCAGCTGAAACTGCTGGATTTCACCTGTGAATATTAATACTCGTCCATCAAGTGAAATCAGCATCACAAGATGATTGCACAACAGCATGTTCCTAGTTATAAATGGCTGCACACAGTTCCAAACATTGAGTCCTGCACACTTTGCCCTGCCTGTTCCTCCTTGCAGCACATTCACAGTGAGTTTGTTACAAGCAGAGAGCAGCTGGTCCTAGCTGTATTCCCATCTAAAGCAAACTAATCTGTCTCAAATTTATTTTTAATTTTGAAAAACTGAACTGCAGTCACTGTAGTGCAAGTTAAATCTGGCTAAAGAAGATTTTTTTTCCAAAGCTAAGAAACAAAGATCTAAATAAGCATCACTCAGAACTGCCTGCTGTGTTTGGATCCGAGGGAATGCACGTAAATCATACACACTGCATACATGTGGTTACGTGGGGATCAAATTGTTACCGCAATTTGATGATTCATTAAATTGATTTTAATAAAGTGTTTAGAAGAGTTTGAAAACAGAAGCCTTTAGAGACCTTCAGGCAGCAGAGTCTCCATTTGGAGCAGTACCAGCAGACATTGCCACCAGTGTGAGAGAAGAGCCAGGCTCAAGTGCACTCACAGTTAGCAGGGCAGCACATTTCCACCTACAGTGACACCCCAGTCCCTAAACGTACTGAAACATAAAGCCTCGATGTGATGCAGAACACTTTGGCTTCAGCTTTTGTTGAGAGCAGCTTAGGAAACAGGGATATACAGGGACTCATCTCTTACCTATCTCTATTTTTTCCAAGGCATCAAGGCTGAGCCTCTGGTACTGATTCACCTTGTCAATCTCATCGTCGTAGCTGGAGAGAGACACAGAGTTTAACCCTGGGGCAGAGCTGCTCCAAACACCCTGCACAGGGTCAGGGCAGCGGGGCACTTACTAGGCCACGTAGTAGGCAGCATTGGAGAGCAACAGCAGAACATCCACATCTCTGTGAGTGGCATCAATGAGGCTAAGGAAGGAAAAAAAGGAGTCAATGCAGAGTAGGGGGTATTGCTACAACTAACTGATTCCCAGTATATTTTGGGGGCACTTTCACAAATAAAGGTGCAGGGCAACACAAGACTTAAATTTGGGTACGCTATCATTTGGACTTATTAAAAATATTGAAGGGAAGAAGCGTTGCATAAACTCAATTCACATAAGTTGTGCATGCAGGAGTATCCCTCCCCGGTGCAGACGTTCAAGTTGAACCTACAAGACACCTAACCATTATTTTTCTTGCACAAACTAAACTTGATAAGGTGACTTATTACAGTTTATACTCACTACTGTTTTTTACTGTACTCTTTCACTGATAAACTTGATAAGGTGACATATTACAGTTTATACTCACTACTGTTTTCTCTCTGAATTTTCATACTAGAACCCTTAGACAAAAATTTAATCCAATAAAATAGGACTTTGCAGTCAAGTTACGCTACCTCTAAAGCAATGAGGAAAACAAGCTCCTTTCCAAGTTACACTACCCCTGTAAAGCAATGAGGAAAACAAGCTCCTTTAAAGCTAAGAGTGGTTAAGAGTTCTCTTTCTGGGGCCTATAATTTGACAAAATTGAGAAAATTTTATGCATAACCAGGCAATTCCTCAGAATTAACTTCCTTATGCACTATTTTTATGGCATTTGAAAAACTTGATTTTTGAACCCCTTGACTTCACTTAACTCCTCACATGTCTTAAGCACAAGACACTTTTTAAAACTAAATCTTACAGTAAGATTTAAGTATTCAACTCCTTCAAAGAGTCATTCCAGAAAACTGCCTATTTGTATCATGTTTAACATATCAGCTATTAAAGCAACAAATTAAGACCATTTAAAGCATCAGTAGTAACAGAAGGGCCACGGTAGCAGCTGATCAGTTATGGCTTTATGCAACAGACCTTGGATCACAGTCGATAAGAGCCCATCCTCCATGAAATTTTTCATCATCTGGCAAAAGCAGCTTCATGTAACTCTGCAGCAGTTGGCTGATCAGTTCCTGATGGCTTCTCATATTTTCCTTGTGCAGGGCTTCATGTTCTTTTTCCTTTGTAAATATGGAGTAAAGATCCTCCGTTACAGGGATACCCTGCATCAAATCTAGGTCAAAAAATAAAAAGTAAGATATCGATATGGAGAAGGCAACAACTAAACATAAGATACAAAGCAGCAGTCTGATTAATTTGTAGATGGGTTCAGGATGGTTATAACAGAAAGTTTAGCCACACACACTGTAAAAAGTGCATCCTAAAACATCAAACCTTTAAAACCTACATTAATTTGACCTCTTTTGCCTAAGGCAGAACATATGACAAGATACTTAAAATTCAAATACATTATGAACAAATTCCGTACTGATCTACACTACACAAACTCACTGAACTGACTAGGGTTTAATCTCCACAAAATAAATGACTCTTCAACGTGGTGCCCACTGGATAGACTCAAGCAGCATATCCACACCTAAGGTCAGAGCACAGTCAAAAGAAAGCCAAGATGATCTCAGTAAACTCTATAAATTCAGTAATTCAGCTGAGAATGGAATTTTACTCTTACCTATGACTGCTTGCCTGTAAGCATCCCTGAAACGATTCAAGTAGTATCTGTTTGCAGAATTTACTCCATCCTTCATGACTCCAGCCAGCTTCCTCTCCCCAGTCCTTGTGAAGTCACCCTGGTGCACAAGACATTTAAATCATGCAGACACAGAACTCAGAAGCAGCAGCCTCAGCTCTCAAAAGCTTTGGCATTTTGAAACTCACAACTGAATTGACAACAACTGAAAAAAGGAAGTTTAGGTAACTCTCCAATATATGTTTACAATATATTTTAAAGAGCTTTTATGTCTATCAGTAAACAGACACTCTGAAGAGTGTCTGATGCTTTTGACAGGCCTAGGATTCCATCTAACATCCTAAAAAGCAATTAGTACATATACATATATCAGGCAAGATTAAAGTGGAACATTTAAAACATCAGGCGGTGATGCCTGAATACTTCTAACTTATTTTTGCCCTATATTTAAAAGTCAATATTGGAACAATGGAAAAGACTAGAACGTGCTCAAGGAAAGCTTGTATCTGTTGCTTCTGCTACCAAAGCAAGACAAGTATAACCTGAAAGAAAATTGCTTCTGACAGTACATATCCACAAAACCTCTGAAACAAATCTATACTTTCTGTGGCCTAGAAACCTGGAGTTTTTAAAAAGAAGTCTCTTCACTAGACTGAGCCGCTCAGAAAGTCTTACCAGCTAGCAGTAAGAGTGTTTCAAGTGTATCTCACCTTCAAATTAAAAGGAACTGAAAATTAAAGCATTAAAATTGAAGTTAAAGCGTGAAAAAAATCAGTTCAGTCTGTTGACACCGTTATTGAATATAGATATTACCAATTAAAATTTTACACCTATAAACTGAGGCTCTGCGTTCTAAATTTGGAGTCAAATACTCATAATAAAGACAAGACTTACAGGCTGTTTTGCATATTTGCAAAACAGCAGTGTAATAAAACTATAGTTCAGTGGAAAGAGGGGAAAAAAAGAGTCAAGCCTCAGGCATTTCCTGTATACAGGATTTTTTTTTCCCAACACCAAGTACTGGGAATACTAAGAGTGTTCTCCCAGTGGCCATATACACAGAAAGTGGCTCACAAGCCAATGGCTTTTCAGAGATCACTGAACCTGCAAGGAGTTCCACGTCTGATTTCTGATCTTGGTAGACTGCAAAACAACTAAAAAAATATAAGTAACCCATATCACCCTATCTACCTCCATAGGCTGCTCTTAAGTCCTTCAGAGAACTTCACAGAACTGTAACTATTATGCTTAACTACCTATAGATTTTAAACTCTTGGCTCAAAGCTAACAGAATGAGGTTAGGCCAGCAGTGTCACTGCAGGGCTTCCCACTCGAGCCTTCCCTTCATCTGCACAAGTTTCAGCAAAATGTTCTCTTACTGACAGTCCCAGCATGTCTCCAAGAACAAGCGAGTAGGGGATGTGGCCAACCGTGCTATTTATACCCAGGTTTTCTCAGTTTATTGGTCATAAAAGCTATTACATAACAAGCTATTCAACATCATTAACTGTTAATATTCTCCCCTTTACCTTTAGGGCTGCTGTGCCCGCGTACTGCCGGCTTATGGCATCTCCGTTATTCGCCCAGATTATCTGGTAGATCCGATTGCATTTCACTGGCAAAGGCTGCTCCGGTGGCATCACACCCAGTTTTTTGAGCTGGAATTTTATATATATTAACATAAGGTTCAAAACAAAGTCATTCTCAATATCAATACTTGATAAGAAAACAGAAACACTTAATTAAATACTTGTTTTAAATATTTTTTTAAAAAGGACATCATCTTGCTCACTGTTAGATAAAGTTCACTGTTAAACATGTCATAACAGTCACTATTGGAAGCAGCAGTAATAAGTTTCTTTCATGTTTAATGCATCTTGAAAAAAATAGCTGAAGGAAAATGAGTTTCTCAAGATTACTCAAAAGAGAGGAGATGCTTCAGTTTTCTACAGGGATCCATCAAAAAAAACAGACTTGTTCAGGCTTCCTCTCCTCACAAAGGCCTTCTCTGTGCAGGGATAACTGTTCCAGAGCATCAGCTACTCACCTGGGACATCATGAATTAATTTTTCTTCTACACACAGCTACCCCATTTGCTGCAACACAGTGTACTTCACTTCAAGCATCTAAAATAGCATCTAGCTCATAGCAATACACAGAAGAGTTGAATCCAGTTTTATTCTAGTCCTCTCACATCTGGGGTTGCAATGAGTTTTTAGGGGGCAGAAGAGTATTAACCTTATACTGTCTTACAATTTTTCTATTAAATAAGTGGTAACAGAATGATCATCACGAGGATTAAGCCAGTGAGTTCCTTCTCCCCTGAAAGGAGATGAGGCACTACAGTTTTAGAATGATCAATTTATTCTAGCTGTACATAGTGTTTTCTCAGATTCACAGTTCCCCGATGATTAAGTTTTGAGGCACCTAGCGCTTTAAAATAATTCTTAGCTATACATGCCTGCTGTTCCATGACAACTCTTGCAATAGCAGCCTGCACCACATTGGTACGATCCAGACAGTCCATGCAGTTAACCCGGAAAATTCCTTCCTGTTTACAGATAACACCAGCTTGATCAACCCTTTCAAAAGAAAGAAAAAAGTCAAGTTATACTAAGACATTTTTGATCATATGTAACTTATAAGCTTCTACAAACAACAAAAAGCAGAAAATAAAATTCATACACAGGATATTATTTCTAGTTTCACTTCATACTAACTACACCCCATTCAGATGCTTTAGTTCCCACTTATCTTCATTTAAGAAGGCCACATCTCTCTAGTCTTGCATAGGTATCCAAACACAGCCTACCTAGTCCACAAGCTTGATGCTATGTGTAATCAAATGCTGAATTCAATTCATATGCAATGACAGATTTCAAAAGAGAAAAGCTACTAAGTTTAACTGCCAGCACAGAAACCCGAAAGTAATTTGACAGGACACGTCACTCATAGCGTATGAGACAATACACAACAATTTCAAATACTACAACTATATTCATGCCCAGAATACATGGGCATGAATAACATGAGCTTTAATCAGTGCAAATTAAAGGTCACAAATGCCTACTGGTTTCAATGGTAAGTTTGGAGTTTTAGGGTTTGTGGGTCACTAGCTACAACGTATTTTACAGTAGAAATAAGAGAAATTAGAATCATAGAAGAATAAAAAGCAGGAAACCTCAAGCAAAAAAGAGCTTGTGAGGATTTTACTATTAGGTATATACAACAAAAACACTATATTCTGTGCTCTGAACTCTACGAGCACTATCTAGGCACCATGAGAAGCATATAAATGGGCAGTATTGACAAGCTCAAGGCCCCTGAACACGCATTGTTTTAATTTCCCCTAAAAGTACTTCATGGCAATCTGAAAACAGCAAGTACCTACCAGCACCATTTCATATCAAGAATAATATCATGAATGGCATCAGTCAGTGTCTGAACATTTTCAAACTTCATTCCTCGGCTAGAAAATAGAATTTGACAGAAATAAGTTTGGACTAAGGTAGTGTTAAAAACAACACACACACACACACACACAAACAAAAACCCACAAATCCACACCCCACAAATCCAAATAATTGGGTACACATGGATTTTCAGATTTTTAACTGTGTGAGAAAAAATGGAATTTTCTCAGGCAAGCAACAAGTTTGAAAGTTTAAGTATTAGCCAATATTCAGAGGTATTTTGAAGTACAGCTAACACCTAGATATGAGACAAAAGTCAGAACTATAAGTTCAGGAATTTGCATTCCTGATCTAATCTGTAAGCAATACAAGAAGATGGCAGAGAAAACTTCGCTTGACGTTTAAGAAAGCACGAGCAGCACAACGTGAGGAATGAGAGCAGCTTTGCATTTCTCTAGTTGGATCTCCCATCCCCTGCACCTCAGAGCAGGCGAAGCCAGGTATGTGGCTTTGCAGCTCACACAGCCATTCTTCCACGCTAGCTAGTTTCCCATATATACATGTTGCTTTATGTTCAAAGCATTTTTTAGGCAACTGCCTCACTAAAAGCAGAGCAAAATTAAGTTTTAAAGCACGCGCCATACTTACCAGGCAAGGAGACACCATTCAGACTGTGCTACACAGTTTTGATTCAAAAAAAGTAATTTTTCTTTGCAAAGTGCTTCATGCAGAAGTGGACAAATAACAGCCCTTCTCCTCCTCCTTGTTCTCCTTTCATGCAAGTGTAAGGAAAGGATTCAAAGCGACAGAAGGTCTTACCAGTGCTCATGGAAGTCAAAGGAAACATAAGTGAGGTTTGCATTGTTGTACAGCAGCACCTGTTTCAGGTAAGCATCCCCAATAATCTTCTCTCTGCCCGTCTGATCCACCAAGTTAATAATAACCTGTTCAAAAACGAAAGCTGTCATCTTCTGCAGCACAGCTTCCTTAGACTCCTCATGTAGCAACACGTAGCACAAGAGTTGAAGTTAACTAGAGATCAAATAAGCTCCAGCCTGACAACCTGAGCGTTAACACAAAGAAGCTCTGAATTGATAAAACAGACATCTGGAAGCGGAGCTTAAACACTTTTGTAGTGCATCACTGCTGCTCAGAAGTAGTAAAATTCTGGTTGTGCAGCACCTTCCCACGTGTCTAAAGCAAACGTCTAAAAGATTAAAAAGCCTTAAATAAAAAACAAAACTCCTGCACTTCTGTAACGCGATGGGACTTCCTGTAGCACTCACCTGCTTTTTGTAATTTTTCAGCTGTTCTTCAAAGTGTGCACGAAAACAGGAGACTGTTTCATTTTCACCTACAAGGTAGAGCAATGTTACACGGCTTGCTCACCAACAAGTTCTTCTTGAATTATCACGAGTAAAATCTGGGTATGATTTTAACTGTGCAGCTCAGTATAACGTGTATAGGGTATTACTTCTAAAAGATCTTGCATCTTGATCAACATAGTGGGTCTACTTTTATAGCACAGATTGAAATACCATTCTTACCAAATTGTTTGGATATGCTTCTAGCTAGGAAGTGTATCAAATTAAGATGCAATTCCCCCTTAAAAAAAAATCCTACTGAGAATCAGCTGAGCAAAAAAAGAATTGTGACCAGATGTCACAACGGAAGCTCTCAGAAGGAAATAATAAAGTGCTGCTTTCATATAATCTAAAGGGGGGGAGGGAGGTTTAGTCTTGGATTTTCCCCGTGCCTACAGCTTGCTACAGTTTTCCTCACTTTATGGATGAACTTGTGTTTACCTTTCCATGACCTGGCAACAAGTCATTCCAGTTATCTTCAGGTACTTAGTGTAAACTCAAGAGCTGAATCCATTGACTCATCTTCCTTAAGTCTTTACTGGTGCTGTCTGCAAGCTTAAAATTATGTGCTACTGTTATGCTTGGATATCTAAGTGAGAAAAAATGTGCTAGGTCCTACCCAAGACACAGGGAAAACACAGCCTTTTATTTGAAGCATCACAGCCCTCATCCAAAAGGACTAATTGTTCCATTTCTCAGCCCTAGATCCTTCAGTGGAAGGAAACTAGACTGGCTGAAATTAAAGAAGCACATGAATACCAATTTGACTCCCAGCAGTGCATATTTATAAGGCATGTCTGGGATGTCTGTCAACCTAATTCAGCCTCACTGATTTCACAAGACCATGAACACTCTGGCCTCCTTCCCAGAAAATATTCTCCTTTACAATACTAAACTCACTAGGATGATCCAGAGGCCAGTGGAATCCTTTGGAAGTTCAGGGAATGGATACCCAGTTCACAGCAGCATTCAGTCCCCCAGTGTGCTCAGACACACTACGGAACTGTGCAGTACCAAGTGTCCAAGTTTTCCTCACACTGAATTATTATCAATTCTTAGTACAGAAGGAAGCTCAGCGCAAGCTCAGACAGAGGTATTCTTAATACACCACTAAGTAGTTTTTCCTTGGAAGAGGAACCCAGCTCTCCCTTTGCAACCCAGAAAAAAGCTGCAATGAGACAAACAGGTACTTGATTAAATACTGAAACTCAAGAACCCTCTGAATTTACAAGAGATGAAGTCAGAGCTCCACACAGCTAGGATTACAGCAGGAGTTAAATGGAGTCAAGTCACTACCATTACTCTTAGCTCTTAGAAAGAATCAGTGAAAAACTATTAGTAAAGAAACACTACAGATTCCCTGTTTCTAAAGGGACTCTCATCTTGATATATCCCATTCAAAAATACCTACTCTTGTCCAGTCGGGGCCGTGGGTTATATCTATATCCTACTTGGCTCCAGAAGACAGGCACAGAGCCTCGTGTTTGGATAAAGGAGAGAGTGTGATTGTGCACGTGGATCAGCTGCTCCGTCTCCACGTAGTTTGCTACATTCCCATTTTTATCAACACCTCTTCTCTTATACCGCATCCCTAGGAGGAATGAGAATAACAATCAACTCATACCGAAGTATTAATCCTAAATGCAGATAATTTTGTTAGTGGTTTTAGTAACAGTGAAAAGAACATAGCTCCACTCCCATATCAAACTGTAGAAGTAACTCCTGCCAGTCCCCATAACTAACATTTACCATGTTAAGGCCCAGGGAAAGACACAGTAAGTTCCCAGGATAATGCAGTTTATTGGCACTGTATAAGTAGCCTACAAACCCCCCAAAAAACTGGTGCCCTCTAACTGGTACACATATACCTCCTGTTCTGTCAAATTCAGCAAGTTTGACTTCAGTGCTCAGTATTTTCCTTGAATCTAAAAGTCACCTTTTACTGACAGATGCTTCACTTCTCTCAATAAGATCTCAAGAGCAGCCCAAAGTTTTGCACATCTTACAGCACAGCAAGAGAAGGCTTTTTTTGTTTAGCATACATCTAAATCTGCACATTAAGAGCAGATACTGCTCCTGGGACTACATGCACTGTTTTTCACCTTCGCTTCCTCTGATCTGGTTGTTAAACGTAACAGCTAAGTGTTTGCATATGGAAGTAAGGTAAAGGAGAAGCTATAATATCTCTCAGAATGAGGGAAAGAATAAGTTTTTTTTTTTTTTAAAAAAAAAAAAGGAAGTAGATTCGAGTCTAAAGTTTAAATAGCCCAGAAATTCAGCTCTGCAGAATCAGAACATCTTTATGTCAAGTCCTGAGGTAGTGCTGGGCCCAGCTTCTGGGCTGAACACCACAGCATGAGCTAAGGGCTATAAAGGGGAGGAGGATAGAAATAGGACAGTGAAAAAGAATGTGAGATACCTCCCATAGGGACCTACGTTTATAGGGACAAAAAGAAGCCAGGGAATTCTACAGTATTTAATGAGGAAAAAGCTTTTGGTCCACAATTTCAGATTAAAGCTTCAAGTGCCTTTTACTTATTCCTTCCCATCAGAGGTCAGAGAACACCATTCCAAAACCCAAACCAAGTCATTTAAAAAATATATACCCCTTACTCGTGAAGTCTCAACTTTTCCAGGCATTATGCTCTTTTTTTTCTAAGCTTGAAAAGAGCTGTCTTCCTTTATGTCTCATGATACCTTTCCTTAAGGTCTTAGGTGGGTTATTAACTTAGTGCAATGTGTTTTTATTACAAATAAGCTGTCTGAAAAATAAAGAATCAGTATATGCATAACACTGAAATCCTAGGAAACTCACACTTTTATAATATTTCATGAAAACATCTTAAACACTTAACTAAATTTAAGCTTTACTGAATGAATTAAAAGCACAGCTTTACCTTCTACTTATTCCTCAAAGTACTGCATCAATTTACTTCAACAAGATACGTAAACTCAACTGATCCTCTCGTTTTAAGAGAAAAAGCTCTACACAATCTGTGTTCTGAACTAGGAAACAGATGTCATTAATAATGTCACCAATAGTGAAGAGCAAATCGAGCTATTTACCCTGCAATTCAGTTTCAGTATTTTTAAAGCAATTTAGCCTACAGAAGACTCATTGCAAGGTGGATGCTATTCTAGCACCATCTCATATTTACTCTGAAAAGCTCTGATCATTGGAACTGGATTAAATGCATTTAATTGAACTGCAATGAAAAAGCCAGTCTCGGAGTGAGCTCAGCAGGTTTTCTTATCCTGATGTGTAAAAAGACTGGCAGTGTAGGAGAGACAAGAGGACTTGAACTGGGTAAAGAATATTAGGAAAGTGCTCACAGCCTGGAAAGGGTCAGAAAGGAACAGGACCAGCTAAAACAATTTGGTCTTTCTTCCTGTTCTCTGAAACACAGGAAATGAGCTTAATTTGCCTTGCTGCTGTAAAAATAAGTAAATGAGCAAGATCAAAGCATAGTCCTTGTATGACAGCTTGGCCTTGCCCACTTTTGCTTCAGCTGAAAAAGGCAAAAAAAAAAAAAAAAAAAAAAAGAGAGAGAGAGAGAGAAAAGGTACTTTTTGTTTGTTTGCTTGTTTTTAATAAAATCCCTACTGAGCTGCTACTAAGCCTTTAAAGGAAAGTCTTTGAAAATTTCATTCCCACCCAGGCCCGCTGAATCATCAATATCAGCTCGGAGCTGTAAGCAGTATTCAGATCAGAATGTTCTTTGAAAATAGGAGAGGGAAACTTATCCCAGAACAGATCTGCAGTGTATCTCCAAGGATACATTCCCTGACACATTCCCTGCCCAAGAGGAGACCAGGGAAGCTCCCCTCCCAGGCAGGAAGGGCTATGGCACAGGCTTTGACGGTGCATCCACCTCTGCTCAATGACACAGCTTTGTCTTCCGAGCTTTATCCTCTATATTCCTCCTGTGCATTCAGAAAGTCTCTTTACAAGCTGTTTAGCAACATTCAGGCCTTCTGATGCCCTGAACTATGTTTGTTTACCAGCTCTGTGCCGACTCCGTCGCGAGATCAGTGCCACCAGAAAGGTTGGGTGAACGTCATCGACACAAGCGGATTCCTGAGGAGTTTCAGGACTGCTCTTCTCATCATCAGAAGCCTCGCTATAATTTACTACAAGTTCTTCAATTTGCACAAATCCTTGTATGATGGGGATAATCCAGAAATCCACTTCAGCATTCTGAAGGTTACAAAGAACATACATTTACAGCCTGTTGGTTGTAATTTATCCCACATCACCTAAAAATGCTCCACTCTTATCATGCGTATTGACAGCTGATAAATATTCCTTTTTTTTCTTTCTTCTTTTTTTTTTTAAAAAAAGAAGTTGTGTGATATCTGTATCTGATTTCTAAAAAAGACACCAGTATCTTTCCTTCTGCTGCTTGTAGGGATTTTAAAGTAGAGGATTGGAGGCATGGAGAGAGTGTTGAACTTGTGATGGTGAAGCAAGAAAAGGCAAAAAGCTTTTCTCTACTCCAAGGACTCTAGTGATTTAAGAGTCCTAGTACTCCTGACAGTTTTAAAGCTTCTTTCCCTTCCTTACAGGGAATTTTCATGTAACACTGTTTTATTAAATAAGGTTTAAAAGCTTAGAGTAATAGCTATCTGTGTCAAAAACTTAAGAAAGGCAATTCAAATAAAGCAGAAAAAGGTAGACAGATCACCTAGTTTCTGATTTAAAGCACTTTTACTCTGTATGTCCACAGAGTTGGAAAATAGTTCACTAAATACAAATGGCCAAAGTATTTACCTGAACTGGCAACTTGTTGGGAAATCAGTTTTCTATCACGTTTCATCCTAAAACTTCCACTTCTTAAACAGAATTTGAATCCAAGCCCCCATGTTAATCAAAGTTATCCACGTGCATCTTATGAAGCAAAGATCCAAGTAGTTAAATTCCTGTATTGTGTGAAGCTTGACAGAACATCTATGCTTATCCTACTCTAATCCCATAAATTCATATACCGTAAATTTTATGCTGCTCTAATCCCACAGAGCACAAAATCATTAACAACAAAAAGGACAGAGTAAGATGTCTTTTAGCTCTAAGAGAACCTAATATATTTGGGCTATGTTGGCATTTAGTAGCTAGAATCTGTTCTGACCTGAGGGGTTCGTTTATAATGAAGCATATAATGCATATTATAATGAAGTATATAATGAAGCAAGATCACACATTGAAGAACAACGTTGTTGCACCTTTTTGAATTTGTGTGCTCATTAGCTGTGGGGAGGCTTTTTCATTCTGAACTGGTTTTAATAATTTGTTCTACACTAGTTATGTTGATTAGCTATTCTGTGGCAGGGAGGACATTTTTGTACACATTATATATACATACACACTCTTATAAAGTATATAAACAATATAATCTCCACTTACGAAGATAAACAAAACTTTCTTGTTTAGGACAAAAATTATTTCCTCAATAAGGAAGCGCAAAAAGAAAATCAGCTCTGCCCAGGGTTAATCCATTCCCAAGATAAGCAGGTCTTAAATATTCCTTCAGGATTCAACACAAGCTATTATGCACAGCACAAGTTATTCTGCACTGCTTTATTAAAATAATCTGTGAATTTGGCTGGTGTTCATTCATTAGCAGTGGCTGCAGGCCCAACAGAGGCTGGCTGAGGGAAGGAGTGTCAGCTGCCCAGGAAGTCAGCTGCTCACACAGACAGTCCTGATGCTGCCCTCTCTGCCAAGCAGATTGCTAATTAACTTTTATGAGCTCTTAACTACCGAATTGTACTCATAATACACACAGCCTGAGAAAGAAATACAACTCACATCGGTGCTGATGAGATCTTCAATCATGTGCTTGTTCCAAAAGAATCTGTCATCAACCTGTTCAAAATAAAAATAAAAAAGTTTCTGCCAAGCCTTGAAGATTTCTTTCCTAGAGATGCTCAGGGCATTCACTACAACTGCACATACATAGCTGGAAGAAATGAATGTGGATATCCACTTGCTGTGGATAATACACAGCACGTGTCCTGGCAGGTTTGGCCGACATATTTAACATTGCACATCTTCTTAAGGAAAAAAAAGCACTTACTTTTCTCCACAGAGGCAAATTAGTTTTCTCACACGCGCTCTGCCTCTGTACTGAATTTGTTAGGTCATAGGTCAAGCTGTAGTAAAAGGAATCTGAATCCATGAACATTTTGAACAGTTCCTCCAGTAATCTCTTCTCCAGCTTTTCTTTTTCTTTACTTTCTTTAATCTGAAATAAAAAGTAGTGGAACTCTTATGTTTTGTTCTTTTATTGAAAGAGATTCTAACTCCATTTACTAAATGCTGGGTCTAACATTTCCAGTCAATTATTTTCTCATTGAGGAGCAGTTTTAAGGTTGCAAGTAGAGATAACTACTAGCCAGCATCTTCTAAAAATATCGCCCATCATAAAAGTACATTCACTGTGAAAATTGCTCAGAGCAAAGTCAGACTTGGAACCGTACGGCTTGAATGCAGGATTTAAAGAAACAGAGCAAGTTTCTTGAGTGTTCCTAAATTCTAAGAGATACTGCATTTACCAATCCCAACTTTAGTTGGTATTCTGTATTCTTTACATTTTCAAACCCAAACTAAGCATTGTGTCAAAAATGTCCTGATGATACAGTAAGATTGTCTTGGAAAGCCATCTTTTGTGTTCAACTCTAGAGGAATGCTTTAATGCTTAAAAAGACTATTTAAATATGGCCTTTTACAGAAATTTCAAGTACTACTAGAGAAAAAGTCCATATAGAAAAAGCACTATGAATTGCCCAGGAATTATGTAAAGACAAAAGGAAACCAGCAGTTAAATAATCAAAAGTTAAACTTAACTTCAAGACAAAAGCTGTCATACTGCAGTGCTTTACTAGCTCTCTTTTGAAGCCATATTTATTAATGATCTTTTTTGACAATGCACCACAATCTTTACGTTATCAACTAAAACAATTCTGAAACTAAAGCAAAACAAAATAAAAACACATACCCTTGCCCCAGGGAAACAGTAAGATCTTACCTTCTTTTTATTTGGAGCAGACACATTTGATTTAATTTGAGTGAGGGTCTTCAGGAGAAATTTCGAGTCATCTGGAGACTGTGTAATCTTCTCTGGCTTGTTTATCCCAAAATGATGCTTTTTACAGAGCTAAGTAGTAGCAATAGCAATGAATTAAAGTAAATATTTGAATATACTTTAACGCATTCAAAGAAGTGTTATTGGATGTCTACAAAAGCAAGCCCATGCAGAAGCCCACAGACCTAGAGCAGCTGCTCAAAAGCACAGGGGGAAACATGCAGGTTTCCCTCTATGGCCTAGTTTTCCTCTAATTTTTACAAAAGAATTTTTCCACTATTATTGTGAGAAAAATCTGCCTCATTTGACATGGCTCAAGTATCCAGATTCACCTCAATTTCTCACCTAAATGACAATGTAAATTAACATTAGTCACTCATTTTTCCTTTAGCCAAAGTTCTGGAGGAATCAAAACCTTCTCTTATAGTTGCGTTATAAGATTAAGATTCCAAAACACGATGGATGCAAGGGCAGCCGTGAGAAAGTACAATCTCCTCTGAGGAGGAATGCAAATATTTTCATACCTCTAGCTCCAGATCCTGAGGTTCTGTTTCAGAAAGTGGAATCACTGCAATTTTTGTTATTTTGCATACTTCATGGTCCCCTGGAAGCCTGCCAATCAACGCTTTCTGACGAATTAAAAGTAACCACCATGGTAAATCTGCAAAAAAAAAATAAATAAATAAAGCTTAACTATAAAGTAACATTCACTTAGACTAATAAGAAGTTTCTCCCATAGAAAAATAAATAAATAAATAAAGTGCTATAGATTCTATTGATTAGAAGACTCCAATGGATGTTTATTTGTTATTGCAGTATTACATCATGTTATAAAAAGAAATCACTATTCTGAAATAGAATGACCATTTCAAAGTTGTCCATTTGGGATAAACTCAACATTGCTTCATGTATGGTGCTTAGACTACCTCTAGTGCAGCATGTTCCTTCCAATATCATTATGGAAATGCAATTAGGTACAAAAATGATTTTTTTCTTTTTCCATCACCACATGGGGAAGTGGTGAAAAGCGAAAGCTTGTAGTAACTTCAGCACTTTAAAGAGAGAAGCAGAAGACTAACGTTCCCCTGCTAAGAGTGACTGGATATTAGCTCCTTTTGTTTTAATCCCTTAGCTCAATTAGCAGGTTGCTAGCTGCACGCCAGGCTTTGATGAGCCAAAAGTGGAAGTTTAAGATGGAAAATGCAGAGAAAGTTTTAAACACAAGCACTTCCTCCTAAAAGCAAGAGACCGAGTTTAGTGGAAGAGATCAGAGACACTTTGGGGCACCAGGGTCTATTCTGAGGCTCTATAGCAGACGGGCTTCTTTTCCTTGCTCATTGAAAATAAATTAATGCGTCAGCTGCTTGACTGCTTAAGAAAAAAAGAGACATGGGATAATTTAAGTTCGATTTCACTACTAAATTAAGGAGTTTAAGACTTTGGCTACAGGGACGTTCCAGGCTCTTAACAATACTGAAGTACTCTTAGAGTAAGCAAGTCTTTCAAGAACATGTAAGGATCTGCACCCAAGACATTAAAGTACACGTGGGGTTGGTGACAGCTTGAAAGAGTGCAACCAGCCATGCCAGTACTTAAAGTCAGATTCTAGTAGTAGTCAGAATGTGCTAAGCTTCTTAAATAAGATCTCCCTCCAAAAACAGCTAATAAACCAAAGTTTTGAGCAGGACAACCCATACAGGAGCCTAACTTCAAAAGAAGAGCTCTGATCCTTACAAGATGGGATGGGATGCCAAATCATAGTCCCACTGTTCCTGTGGATAGAGATTGATTCTGGAAGCAGCATCTTGCCCAGCTTCCACAGCACAGCTTTCTCATGAAGTCTAGAGAATAGTTCCTGGTCCAGCGCTGTTAAATATTTATATAACTTCTGCTGATAAAGTTTCCAAGTGACAAAGATTGGTACAAGAATAAGTAATGAAGACAGGTTACTGTTACACAATGTTAGATGATTTGGCAGGAGGATTATATTCGAGTGTGGTTCTGTGGGATCAAGTGGGCTCATTGTCTAGAGGAGGTTTCAGAACCACCATGTCAATGACATCAGGGAACCTTCGTATTTTGACTGCAGCCCAAATGGAAGGCACCCTTGATCAAAAGACAACCATACTAAAAAGGAGCAAGAAGCATTCTCCACAGCAGAAAGAGGTTAAGGAAACTCAGCATTTTTCATCAATTTATGCTGAACATCTGGGAGCATGGATGGGGGAAAGTGAGATGACAAGAGGCAGAACCACTTTGAGGCACCAGATTAAAAAAACAAGGGCTGAAAAGATCTGTAGAAGGAGCAAAGGGGAAAATATTAGACAAAAGATCAAGTGACAGTTGGAAAGGGGAGGTGATTGTAAACATTAGAAAGGGATGGTCTCTGAGCCCATCTCAGGAATAAGCTATGAGCTCTCAGGAATAAGACTTGGAGGTTGCAATAGCTGTAGATCTGACATTGCACAGAACTAGTGAGAGAAGAAAATAAAACACGGGCTGGTTTCCACTGCCTGCATGGCCCATGTCCCATCCTGCACAAGCTCCAGCCCTCCCAGCTTCAGGAGAGGGGTGCTAGAACCAGAAAGGGTCACGGCTGCCACGTAAGGAACAACTCAGCAGGCTGCGGCTCTTCATCTCTTCCAGACTAAAAAAAAAGAATGGAGGTTCTTTCTTCATATCTTTTGGAATTTCAGCATTCTGGTTGTTTAAGCCACACCTGAATTCCCTAGATGTCTTCTGCATTGGAAGGACTGGATGGTGTCCTGCTTCACAGCAGGATATGCTAGTGATCCCAGCACCTGAATTTATAGTAATTTTAGAGCTATATTCATCAACTATGAAAATCCTAACGTAATACTTGCTTAATCACTAGATTAGAAATGATTATGAGACCCATCTAATTTCCCTCCCCATACAGTATCTGTTTCTATTTGACAGACCAAACATCTGATCCACTTCAGCACTTAATACATGCTGCTATCCCAGGGCACACTTGAAACTTTACCTGTATTGATCATATTGCCAGCCACTACTTTAAATGCAGAGCTTAAGTATTCTCAAAAATAAAGAAGAGAGTAAAAGCAGCAGAATTTATGGCTTGCTTTTCTACTTGTCAGCAGATGCATCCAGAGTTCCACCCATAGATTAATCCTTCTAGGCAAAGCTGGTATATTAGAATCGAAATAAATATGTATTTTTTGTTTACAAAACTCTGCAGCTGACTAGAGCCACGAGACTACGGACCTTATTATACTGGAAAAGGTAACAACTTAGTCAAGTTACCAGAATTGGTTAGAAAGAAAGGCTTATTAATTGCAGGGCGTTCTGCTCCTATTTTTATTTTACAGCTGTTCCTTATAATATTCCTATTTAGCTACAGAGAAGCTGCTAAATGTGCCTTTACTTTCAATCTCCCAAACTGATAATTGTTCCTTGAGTTTTCAGTTAATGTGGAGAATTGAAACTTTGCAGTACAGCACAGAAACTACTAATGTCTTAAGTAAACTTCCAAAGTTGTTTGATAACATGTTTTTGTACCTTCTTGAGCTTTATGTTGTGCCTCAGTTTGACTTAGCGATTCTTACTCTTCACATTTATGAAAGTCACACTTTTGACAAAACAAAGAGATAAAATATACACTCTGGAAAGTAAAAGAATTTGTATACTACAGCTACAATAATCGCTTTAACAGATTCAATTTGGAGTACTCCTTCTTTATGAGGTTACATAACATTGTGCATTCCATATTTAATGGAATTGTTTGTAGCATCACTGACTTCAAAACAAAGTATATTAGAAATAAGAGAAAAGCAAACCTGTGTGAAGCTGAACTTTACCAATGACTCCCTCCACCAGGCCCAGACAAATGGGATTCCAGGCCAACAGAAGATCAGTGGCTGCAAAAGGAAGAGTGTTCAGATGTTTTACATGAACTCAACAACATAATCAACACAGTCATCCAAGTCACCTTTCCACATAGCAGGTAGAAAATATGCTGTAATTTGGCAAGAATAAAATGCAGAACAAGCTGAAATTGAACAGGATATCAAGTAGGTACCAGGTAGCTATTTTACTTTAACCAACTGACCAAATGCTTTGTTCCTGATGCTATACACCACACATTTCTTGGTTAGTTTGGGAAGAAAAATACAAAATAGTTTTGCTCTACAGTCAATTTAATATATAATTAGCTCTTTTAATACCCATTAGAGTCTCTAATCTTAATTACAATTTTACACAGCTACAGTGAAATTGAATATAGGTCATACAGTTAAGGAAGCAGCTCCAGATAAAACCTAACAGATACTCACTTGCAGCCCCAGCTTGCTCCCATGTAAATCCTGCTACAATCAGTTTCATCTGCATAAATTTCCTCTTTGACTAAACGAGCTGCACAGTTACATGCAGTAACATCAAAGAATAACGCCTGAGCTTTATGTACTTAAAAAGGATTTCTAAGCCTGCTACTGTGGCTTACTGGAATTTCTCAGGGAAAATAGGAGAGAAAGGCAGCACGACCAGCTGCTTGCTGTGAAGGGTACTCCTGCCACCCACCATTCAATGCAAACTGATAAAATGCTACATGAAAAGTGTATCACACCAGATACCTGCTGCTGACATCCAGCAGCCTGTGCACACCCCTTAGACCGGTGTAACACCTGTAAGAGTGATAAAATGTGGCAAAGAATAACCTTCAGAAGTTACATATTTTAATTAAAATAAGTCAGTAAATGCAATTAACACCTCCATCAGAGAGCAGCAACTAGAAAAAAAAAAAGTCAATTTATTTCCTAGCAGCACAAGAAAAAAGGGAAAGACAATGTCTTTCTTCTGTTCCTAAAAGGACAAGAAGTTTGTTACTATCTACAAAAGCTTCTAGGTTGGAAAGGTTTACAGCATGTCCACTGGCTTGATATTAAAAAAGAAACAAGCTGCATATTTATGAATGGTCATTTATTGACGCTGGGAACAAAACTTGTCCACCAACATCCCAAGGTGCAGAAGGGTATACAGCCATCCCCCCCAGACACCCATTGCATCCACAAGAGATTGGCTTTTTAGTCTCTTCTTCGGAGCCTCTGATCTGCTGGTGAGCAGACACTTTTGATTTTTACGTTCTTCCAACATTCAGATTCAGGCTGAGCTCCAGCACCCCCAAGTCCAGCGTTCCTGCAAGCCTCGAGTGCCGGCGCACTGGAAGTCAGCACGGGACACTGCAGGAAAGAGGAACCCAGGCAGCTTTCCCAGCTTCCAGGTCTCCACCTCTGCCAGCTCGTACACACTGCAGGGCCTCACCGCTGCTCCTAGAAACTCTCCAGAGCTAAATCCTCCCTCTGCGTGGGGTTACAGTAAGAACCGACTCTAAACTGTGGCCCCTCTGTTCACGTGTTGTCCTTGCACACATAAGCAAGTCCATCTTCCTCATCTTCCGGGTTTGTCCTAGGTTAGGGAGCATAATACTCTTACCTTCTTTGCCAAAAATTAGCTTTCAGAAATACTGCTTTTTCAATACACTGAAATATTCCTCTGGTACAAATTACTTCCTGTCAATGTGCTCAGTATAGAAAACATTTAAAGGGTCACTGAATTTCTTCAAGCTCAATTTATACAAAAGTACATGTATGCATTTAAGTTTTT